ATAAGAGATCCTCCGGAAAAGGGCTTTTTTCCAGAGGATCGGGGCCAGTGTAGACACTCTTTTCCGGCTTTTCTAAAAGCCGGAAAAAAGCGGCGGACATTTTTATTTAAATGCCGCGGGGGATATTTAAATCCCCCGCGGATTTCCCTATTACGACCTGTAAAATTAGCATGCCCCTTTCGCAAAAGGGGCCAGTGTAGACGTACCCGAGGAGAATAGAAAGGGGCGGGGCTTCAAGAAAGGGGGGGGGGGCGGTAGATCTTCGCCTGTTCGGAGATTTAAAAAGTGATCTTGGGTGTAAAAAGGTTGGAGACCACTGAAGCAGTGGTTGGCTTTAGGAATACATGTGACAATCCCAGCTGGTAGGGTCTGACCAGGTAATTTTCCATAGAAGGTGGGTGGGAGGACTCCAAGTTCCTGCCCAAAGTGAAATTTATAAAACATTGGGAAGGTAGTTTTCCCTTTGTCTTTGGCTGGCATGGCACTCCCAGGAGAATGAACCAGAGATCCCAGGGGAAAAGATCTTCCCTGGCTTGGAGGTTTAGCTGAAATAAAAAGAGTTTAATAAAACAATATTTTCTACTTGGCTAAGACTGGGAACTAGGAGTTTGGTGACCTATTCCTGCTTCTGCCATTGATGTGCTGTGCAGCTCTGAGCACACCACTAAGGCCCCAGTCCCCAGCAGCTTTGTTGGCTGTTCTGAGTATGCAGTGGCACAGGAGCAGACTGTCTCTGTGTTGGTTTCACTGCCAGGTATAGTAGCATTCCAGTGATGCAAACAAATAGTGTGAGAATGTATCCAAAGATGTCTGTTTAAGTTTTGAAAAGGAATATAATACTTGCTTACCTCATGGGGATGCTGTGAGAAATGACTGAACACATCGACAAGCATTCAGCAGTCAAGTGCTACAAATAACCATGAGAATATGTACTAAGAGCCTAATGTTACTAAAGATTGAGACATTGGCGAGATCCTTGCAGCTGGTAGCAGAATGGTCCAGGGTTGCGGGTGGGGTTAGGCAAGGCACTGACAGCCATCCGTGTCTTTCTGAATGGGCCTTCACAGTCTGCATGTTTGAGAAGCTTTTCCCCTGTGGCTCTATAGCAGGGGTGGCCAACCAGTTAGAGACAAAGAGCCAAAATAGCTGTGGATAGAGTGTGAAGAGCCATGTATTGTATGTTCATTTTTATATATCTATAGATAGATAGATATAGTACACAAAATGTAGTGATAAAAATAACATTATAGGACATTGCAGACAAAAAAAAAAAAATCTCTAGTCACTTAAAAAATTCACAGCCAGTCCATAGATCTTCAGAGAACTTGACAAGGAACAAACATCAATCACATTTAAAAAAAACCCTTTAAAAATACAGTAATATTCTCACACACACAAAAACCATCTCTACCATGTATTTGAAATTTAACACTACTGCTCAATTGTGTCCTGTGAGTTTTTTAAAATTAAACTGAACTGGGAAGTAAATTAGCACAATTTGAAGTGCCTGTTTCACTCCAGCTTGTTGATCTCTGGTATGGTTTCCTCATTTTTTTACTTATGAAGATTATGGCTTTTTTATAGTTCTAAAAATTCAGGTCTCTTCCAGACTGCAAATATGACAGGTTCAAAAACAAGAAGGGAGAGTCCGAACTAGCGGACATTTAAAAATGGCGGCGCCCGGCAATATGCAAATGAAGCCCGGGAAATTCAAATCCCGGGCTTCATTTGCAACTCCGGTTGCCTACATTAACCACCCTAGTTCGAACTAGGGTGGTAGTGTAGACATACCCTAAAGGGTTAAGCCCAGAGTAGCCAGAAACTATTGACAGGGAGCCAGGAGAACCAATGGGGAGAAAAAGTTGAGATTTGAATTGAAAGGGAATCTGCCTGCTGCAGTTGTTTTGTTTGAGTTCAAACTAGGAGCTGGAGGAAGAATTAATTGAACCAAACTGGAATATACTTGCCTAAAAACAGACTGGACCTTGAAAGTACAGATATGTGAGTAGACAGGGAATGTTTTTAGTGGGATGTGATTAAGTTATTTTATTTGTTTTGTTGTTTGGTTAAACTCCTCTGTGCCAAGTCCATGTGCCTCCCCCACCCCAAACACTGTAACTACATCTGAATCTCAGGAAAGCAATTTTCTGTGTTCACCTTTATTAAAGACTATGATCTGATTCTTGTGTCCTGGAAGGGTCAATAAGAATAATTCTCGAGTTCTTAAAATGGGACAAAATCTTAGGTTTTCCTCTTTGAATTGAGTCCCCCCGCTGGCCCTATGCTCTTCACATCAGTTTCACCTTTGAAGTGTAGCAATAGCGCTGGGGCTGTTGCTACACTTCAAAAGCAGAGGGGCACTTATCAACCAATTGAAATTTTACAACCCTAGAAAGGTACAGAAAATATGATCTACAAGAAGTGAGTGAAAAAATGGGTTTGTTTAGACTGAAGAAGAGAAGACTGGGAATGGGGACATGATGACTGTTCTCAAATATGTAAAAGGTTGTTATAAAGAGGAGAGAGAGAAACTGTTCTCCTTATCCACTGAGGGCAGGACAGGAAGTAGTCAGATTAAATTGCATCAAAGAAGATTTAGGTTAGATATTAGGCAAAACTTGCTAATTGTAAGCTAGTTAAGCTCTGGAATAAATTACCTGCGAAGGTTGTGGATTCTCAATCATTGGATACATACCCATTCGGGATAGTCTAGATCAGAGTTGGGCCACATCTTGGTATGGAAATTGTACAGAGGGCCATGAATGCTCACAAAATTGGGCACTGGGGTACAGGAGATGGTGAGGGCTCTGGGAGGAGGCCAGAAATAAGGAGTTCAGGATGTGGGAGAGGACTCCAGGCTGGGACCAAGGGGTTCAGAGGGTGGTAGGGGGCTCTCAGCTGGAGTGAGAGGATTGGGGTTGTGGGTGGGGGTGAAGGCTTCAGCTGAGGGTGTAGACTCTGGGGTGGGGCCACAAAAGGAGGAAGGGTGTGGGGTGCAGGAGGGTGTGCAGGACTGGGATCAAAAGGTTTGCAGTGGGGAGGGAGATCAGGGTTGGGGAAGGGGTTTGGAACACCGGGGGATGTCAGGCATGCAGACGTCAGGCGGTGCTTACCTGAAGCAGCTCCTGAAAGCAGTAGCCCATCCTCCTCCAGTTCCCATATGGAGGTGGGGCCATGTTGCTCTGTGCTGCCCCATCTGCAGGCAGCCTCCCCACAGTTCCCATTGGCCGTGGATCCTGAGGGACCTGGGGCGATGTTCCTTTCCATTCAGGGCTTCTTCTGTTTAGAGGAGATAAATGGGAGACAGCTGCTCAAGCAGACCCATCTCTGGTCTGCAGCCAGGCATTCATTTATACCGTGGACTCCTGACTGAGCCAAACAGATGTTTCTGTGGATACCCTGGACTTCACTATTACTGCAGCCTCAATACCTCCTTATTGCATATGTACCCACATAGGGCTGTGTGTGAGCTGCTCAATGCTTAAATCGCTGCTGGCTCATGCTGTGTCTCGTTGTGACTTAGGGTACTTGGATGTAAGAGTATTTGGACTTCTCCCCTAAAGCGTTATGAGTTACAGACTCTCCTCTATGTCACGGGAAAAATAACAGGTGAAATCCTGGCCTAGTGGAGCGTGAGGGGAGTTTTTTCATTAGTTTTACTGGGGCCAGGGTTTTGGCCAGTTTTCCAAATCTGCATGAGGGGTTGATACTATGTATATACCAAGATCTTGTGTGGATATCTTTACTAGTATTACTCTATTGTAGTGAAGAGTAGTTACAAGCCACTTATTTCTGTTACCTCAGCTGTATAACTGTCCTCTTTCTTTCTTTTTTTGGGGTGTGTGTTACAGAAGTATGTGGGGCAGTTTTACAAGGACCATCGTCATGGCAAAGGGGTGTACTTTTGGCCGGACAGCTCCAAATTTACTGGATCATTTTATCTTAGCCATAAGGAAGGATATGGGACCATGGAATTCAAGGATGGCAGAAACTATCAGGTAACAGGATGCAGTTGAATGTATTCTAATGATTGATAGCACTAACAGAATCTGAGTTAGTGCTGCCATAATGGTAAATACAAACAAGAAAATAAAAAGCTTTATGCTGCTAAAGCAGTTGTTTGAATTCATGCCTCATGCAGAAGTGACCAAAGAGGGGAGCGTCAGTTGATCCAGGTCTCCCAAAACGCTGTGCCTGAGGCAGATATCATTTTGGAGTGTCAGTGGTCAGGGAACAGGAAGCTGGAGCTGCAGGTCTGAGTCCTGGTGTACACTAGGGAGTTATTTTGAAATAACAAGCGGAACGCCCACACTACAATGCTCGCTATTTCGAAATAACAGGCTGGTTATTTTGAAATAATAACTTCTGCTTGTAGGTCTCCCAAAACGCTGTGCCTGAGGCAGATATCATTTTGGAGTGTCAGTGGTCAGGGAACAGGAAGCTGGAGCTGCAGGTCTGAGTCCTGGTGTACACTAGGGAGTTATTTTGAAATAACAAGCGGAACGCCCACACTACAATGCTCGCTATTTCGAAATAACAGGCTGGTTATTTTGAAATAATAACTTCTGCTTGT